AAGAAACCACCCATTTACCGATTTCAACTATTCAGTAAAGTGGTCAGAATTTAGCAATTTTGCCAACTTCACACAAATTTCAAAAGATGCCAATTTCCAAATAGGGTCCAGAAAAAACAAGAAAGACATTTCTGGCACTAAAATAACATTTCCTTTGTTCATTAGTCATGTCCCCATGTCCCTCTTACATTCTTTTGCTTTCCTCTTTGAATTTTTATCCTCGCAAAAAATAGAAGATTTACTATTATGCAGACTACTGCATTAGTGTAGAAATGGTATAAATAATATCAGCACACTTGTGAAAGAATATTAGACTCGCCAATTGACGTGTATTGGATGCGTAGCATGATTTGTTTACTTTTGAACTTTGGCAAAAATCGAAGATTTCCGCTACTTTGAGCTCAATTTCAAGGTACTTTTCATTGTAAAACCAATCAAAATCGTCTCAATTTCTGTAATATGTCTTCTATTCTATAAAATGAGACCAGGATAACTAGAATACCATCATAAATACCATACGAAAATACAGTGCAAAGTCCCTGTTTTAAACCAAAAACACGGTCAAAGTTTTTTTTTTCTCATTACGCACTGTGTGCTGCAGGATTTTTTTATACTGCACACACTGACCACATAGACCCATTCTTTCATATGTAGGGTACCAGCTTTCTCTCGCTAGATTTGAGGGCGCTAGAATTTAGGCGTACTAGTACATCAGAAACCTTGGTGCGTAAGCTGTACTAGTAGGTCAGAAACCCTGAAAGGGTTAAAGAGGGCAATTTTTCTGTGTGGTAAAAGACAAAAAAGAAATTTACGGCCAGTACTTACCGAGATATAAGATCGTGAAGTTGGCTCTGGATGCTCACCTGATGGCAACATCCAGTCCTGCTGCTTGCAGAAGTGTTGCTGATTTGCCTTTTTTTCTTGTTTTTATTTTAATTTATATAATTTTTATATTCTGATAATTACAATTTATAATAATACTTGTGATTTCATAGCCAGTCTTTGTTCTGACACTAATATTATGTACAGTAGACCGTCATTTAGCATGGTAGTTACGCTCCTGAAAATGCCGTGTTAGGTAAAAAAAATCATGTTAGATGAACTGAAGAACTTATGGGAAAAATAGGGTTATGTTCCTAGGAGCCCACAAAAACCCAAACTTTTTTTAGGCCTCCACATCTTACAGAAATAAAAGTGAATATGTGGTTGTAGTTCATTGTTGTGATGTATTATGTTGTTTTTACTGCTTAAGACTACAAATGTAACAGAAATAATAGTATTTCTTACCTTAAATTGTGGGTACTGGTATTTGTGGATGATTGTGAAGAGAGTGGAGAGTTATGTTGTGGTCCTACTGGGCTGAGGTGGATGGTAGAGGTTCTGGTACTGAAGTTGATGGTTGTACTGGAGTGTCTAACTTTAAGTCATTCAGTCAGTCAGTCAGTTCATTAAGTAAAGTTACTCAGTAAGTCAGTCAAGTCATTCAGTAAGTTGCTCAGTAAGTCAGTCAAGTCACTTAGTAAGTCATTCAAATCATTCAGTAAGTCAGTCAAGTCACTCAGCAAGTCAGTCAAATCACTGAGTAAGTCAGTCAAGTCACTAAGTCATTCAGTTAGTCAAGTCACTCAGTAAGTCAGTGAAGTCATTCAGTAAGTCAGTCAAGTCACTCAGTAAGTCAGTCAAGTCATTCACTAAGTCAGTCAAGTCATTCAGTCAAGTCACTCAGTACATCATTCATTCAGTCAAGTCAGTCAGTAAGTCAGTCAAGTCACTCAGTAAGTTCAGTCAGTCATTCAGTAAGTCAGTCACACAAACTCATGTTTGCCTCTTTTTCTCTGTACAAAGTAAAACTTCATTATTTCTACAGGTTATCTTGTCTAATACTTTTGTTTTTTTGTTAATTCTAAGACTTGAGTGCTTATACCTCTTCGTGCCACTTTCAGCAACACTGGTGTGGCTACTGGGTGTCATTATTGCTTGGTAGATACAAGATAGAGTAATTAAAATATCATAACACAATTCACAAAGACAGCTGCCTTGTAGCAGAGAAAGACTGGACACGTATGAATTACGAACGCTAGGATGATGGGGTGATGTCGGGGAGTGGCAGGGAAAGGTGGGAGGGCTGCCCTGCTGCTCCACAACAAGGTGGCCGCTTGAGCAAAAGAGAATTTTTTTTTCCTTCCCACAAACTGAACCATGTTAAATTAATTATATGACATGTTACATAAAATTGTGCTGCAATTCTTCAATCGTGCAATACCCAAATCATGCCAAATAAACTCGTGCTAAATGACAGTCTACTGTACTGAAATAGTACTCAATTAGTAACAGTCATACCGACAGATGAACATTTTCACCTGCCTGGGTCATTTATTATTATCTAGAAATATATACAAAGTATTTATAGGTCTTTGCAGTGTTTTAGACATGCTGGAGTATATATGAAACTCCTTAAAGAATTATGTTATGACAAGCGAGATAACTGGTGACAGCCAGTGACATTTGATGAATATGCGCTGCTTTATTTGTTTTTGTGTTTGCACACAAACATGTCTGTCTGTCTATCTGTCTGCCTGTCTGTCTGTCTGTCTGTCTGTCTTCTGTCTGTCTAGCTCTGCTTATCTATCTAGCTCTGTTTATCTGTCTGTCTGCCTGCCTGTGTGTACCTGGAGTATATATATGAAACTCCTTGAAGAATGGTGTTATGATAAGTGTGAGATAACTGGTGACAGCCAGTGACATTTGATGAATGTGAGCTGCTGCAGAGAACCCTCGCTTTATTTGTTTTTGCTGTTGCACACAAACATGTCTGTCTGTCTGCCTGCCTGTGTGTGTGTGTGTGTGTGTGTGTCTGTCTGTCTTTCCATCTGTTTGTCTCTGTCTCAGGGAGCGGCTGGCAAATCTGTTGGTTTTTTGTTTGAGCCGCTTCCTGATTGCTGAGCAAGTGACACTGCTATTACTTGTGTCATGTTTATGTCTTATATCTACAAACACTGTATAACACTTTGGGTTATCCTGAGTAATTTACACCTTGTATAATAACTGTACAGTGGAACCTCAAAAATCGAACTGCTCCCAACACAACCAATTATGTAAGTGTATTTTTGTAAGTTCTTTTATAAGTGTATTTTTAAGGGTCTGAAATGGACTAATCTAATTTACATTATTCCTGATGGGAATAAATTCATTTGGTAAAGGCACTCGAACAGACTTCTGGACCGAAGAAAGTTCGATATTTGAGGTTCCACTGTACTAATGTGTACATGTGAGAGACATAGACAGAGATATAGACACATAGACAGAGATATAGACAGACAGAGATAGCGAAAGTCAGCCAGCCAGCCAGCTGGCCAGTGTACCGAATACATAAGAACATAAGAAAGAAGGAACACTGCAGCAGGCCTTTTGGCCCATGCAAGGCAGGTCCATGTTACCCCCCTGGCTTAGACCAATTGACCCACCTAGTCAGGTCACATCCACTGAAGGAAGGAGCATGGCATCTGACCTAGTAGCACAAGCTAGTCAGGTCCAACTCTCACCCACCCACACCCACTCGTGTATTTATCTAACCTATTTTTACTTTCCTCTTAAAATGGGAGTGTTAATACGACATGACATCAGTGAATGCCTGGTGTTTGCCATGCTATTTGCTCTAGCTGGCACTCAATTGAACTTGTGCTCCCACAAGGTACTAAGTGGTCCCCGATTTTTTTAATACTGCGCACACTGAGTGCGCAGACCCATTCTTTCATGTCTAGGCGATTCAGGCCTATTGTACCAAATTTGAAGGAATGAAAAATAAAATGTTGATCTACGTTTGGAGCGCTGCACACGTGCACGTAAATCTACATGTGGACAGTTTAAGGGTTAATCTCTAAGTAAAAATTTTTGTATTGCTGATGTACATAGCATAATCAGGTTACATTATGTATCTTTTACTTCACTGAAAACAAGGACAGTCCTGAATTAGAAGACTGGAGATAATAAAATGTGGGATGAGTTGAAGATATAATCATATCCTCAAGAGTTAACTTATTGAAACAAAAATGGCCTTGGATAACATTCTGCTGAATTTTTTCAGCCATAGAACTAAAATTATCTTTCTTGTTTTTATAATTTTTATATAAAAATGCTAAATCACAATATTTTTTTTTATATCTATAGTGGATTACAAACAGAATTCATGGAGTAATTTTTTTTTTTAACACGTTGGCCATCTCCCACTGAGGCAGGGTGATCCAAAAAAGAAACACTTTCACCATCATTCAACATTTTCATTTTTTTCTGACCAGGTTGTAAAGCCACACGTGGGCAGCATTGGGGTGAGTAAAGGCGGAGATCTGGTGCTGTCTCTTGCTACGTTCATCCCCGAGGTGAAGGCTGCAGTTTGTATAAATGGAAGTTGTGCTAATACTCAAAGCAGCCTACACTTACATGACAGAACAATTCCTGGTCTAGATTTTGACATTTCAAAAGTAAAGGTCTGTATAGCATATGTAATAAGTTTATTACAATTGTTAAATGGGAATATTATTTCTTTTATGTGTGTATTTTGTCTCCATGTATGGGAAGGACTGCTTATAAATATGATTAAAAAGCACCATCAGGACAAGATTTTACTGTAGACAATGTTTATTTTGTCATGAGGTTTATCAGCTCAGTGGTAGGAAAACCAGTATACAGTGGAACCTCTGCTTACGAGTTTAATCCGTTCCATGACATTGCTCACATCTGGATTTACTCGTTTGCAGAGTCAATTTTCCTCATCTAAATGGAATTAATTCGTTCCAGTGGAATTCCAGGCATGACAAAATACTTCAATAATTTCCCTAATATCAACTCTGCGGCTTATTTATCTATCACAGTTCATCTAATATTAATAACATAGAAACATGATATATACACTAGAATGAATAAAATACATGTCATTACAGCTAGTGGTGGTGACAGTGGCCATTGTTGTTATTGGGGTTTATAGGGCCACCACAGCGGCCATTCCTGCTCCTGACTACACGTATTGAGAACCTAGGATAATCCAAAGAAGTCAGACAGTGTGACTTATAATTGCTACACTTTTAATGCTACACTTAATTGCTACACTCTTAATGCTACACTTTGTCACTGACTCCTGCTTTAGTATTGTACATATTGTAAAGTGGTAGGCTGGTACTGCCTGGCCAAGTCCTTAACCCTCCACCTAGTTTGTTTATCTATGATTTCCCTGTTTTAAAATTTCCATGGAAATTAAATCCTCTTTTCCTTCTCAGCACTCTCCTTTGCACTTGCTTTCTTAGGACCCATGGTTAGAAACAAGAAATTTGGCAAAATACGTAACTGCATGAAACTTAAGGAAAATACAAGAATTCCTTCCACCGTGTGTGGAGTGGACTGCCATCTCGTGGCGGCATTTGGAAATTCACTTATAGAATAGGTACAACAAGGTCTGCCACTGCTGTTTCATGTTGTCTGCCACTGCGCTTAAATGTTTGCTGCCATTGCACCTCATGTCTGCTCCCACTCTTGTTAGCGGGGTTAAAAGACTTTCCAATATGTGAAGGTTAATGGGCAGTGCCAATTGGACAGGTATTGGACAGTGATGTCATTTGAACATCGCCAAAGAACGAACATTTCTGCTACTTTGAGCTCAATTTCAAGGTACTTATTTGTCATGAAAGCAATCAAAATCAAAATTTAAAATTTCTGTAGTAAAAATCTTCCATTCTATCAATTGAAACCAAAAAAATGAGAATACAACCATAAAAAATGTACAAAAATATACCACTAATGGGAGGCTAAGGCTGAGAAAAAGTGAACCCTGTTATTTATTTTTCCGATTCTTTATTTTTGGTGTACGTTAGAAGCATCTTCATTATACATTGCCCAAGTTTCAATAAGATAGTTCAACAACAACTGAGACCCAAAATTCCTTAGATCAAGAGCAAGAGCCCCTCACCAGCATCGGGGAACCTCCCTTGAGGCTTGCTAGCATCTGGAAATTTTGCTTGCGTCTGGAAGCAAAAAATCAACCAAGTGACTGCTTGAATGGGGAAAAAACTCGCATGTGGATGCACTCATAAGTAGAGGTTTCCACTGAAACAGTGGAACCTTTGCTTACGATGCCCCACCATGTGAGTTTTCAGGATACGAGCCATTGCTCGGTCGATTTTTTGCTCCTGGATACGAGCCAAAATCCAGTTGTGAGCTTCCCCCTCAAGGGAGGTTCCCTTGATGTTGGTGGGGGGCTCTTGATCTAGGGAATTTTATCTGGGGCTCCAGTTTTCTAAATTAACCTGAATACCTTCCATCCCCTCCCCTCACAGGCGCTGTATAATCCTAAGGGTTTAGTGCTTCCCCATTATAATAATGTACAGTGGAACCTCTGCTTATGAGTGCCCCACTGTTATGTACAGGGCAACTACTTAAGCCTGTTTAGCTCTTTCTTGCAACCAAAAAAAACAGATTGAATATCCTGTTCTAAATGAAATCATTTAAGGGTTCAGTATAAACAATCACAATGTTTCTTTCCGGTTTTTTATTAAGTTTTTTTAATAACCATAGAAGGGTTTTATATTAACTTTAAAAAAGGTCGAAACAAAAACAGAGTACTCATGAAAATTACACTTGAGTTCACTTAAAAGATAATATAAAATATTCTGTCTTTTTTATAGTGCTGAATGGGTCTAGTATCATAACACCTTCACTTCATATAATAACACTTTGCTTAACTCAATCTAAATGAGACAGAAAATGTAACACTTCAATAATAATTCACTCTTTTTCAACTTTCAAAATATACTAAGCGAGATTAGGAATATTCAACACTTAAAGGAGTTTTGAGGCGAGTCTGTCTCCCATGACTTTTTCGCCGTCCTCTTTGAAAACCCAAAACTTCTTAAACTCGCTCCTAGCAGAGCTAGGGACAATCACCAGCATCTCCAATACAGCAAAACACACTTCGTCCGAGAAATTCTGTCTGATACCGTTCGATGTGCTGGAGGGTCACTAGGGAACCTCATGTAAGACCAAAGGTTAAATCCAGGAATCAAGGAGCTTCTCTCACAAAGGTGAGAGTGGACTGCCCAAAAAACAGAATTCTCAGGCTGACGTCACCTCGATTAAAGGGGACAGTGGCTAAACGACAGCCGGGTAATAAACAACTGTACCCGTAGTTTACATCGTCGAAACATCCTATCTATTTACACAGCAAAAAAAATTAAGGCCAGAAAAATATTATAAAGTACTCTAATCCTCATTTTTAGCTACTAATGAGGCTAGAAATAATTAATATTAAGTGAAAAAGCCCTTACATATACATCATAAACCCGACCTAGAAGGTTCCAAATGAGGGCGTAACACCCCCCCTTTCGACCAAATGTCGCTTTAAAGAAAAACAACACTAAAAAATATTTTCACCTATAAACACAGGTTACACTAACCCTTTCATGACAAAAGAACATTTTCCCCCACAATATTCTAGTCATTTGTGGTCTTCAATCCCAATCTTCCTCCGACACCATGTCTCAGAGTGGATCGGGAAAGAGGACATAATCCCACGTCGTCACCTCACACTCATACTAGATCAGGTGACTTGGGTTCAGTGTTTTTCCCAAAAGTGGGGGCCAACCGAAGTTAAAAAGTTCAGAATAGAAATTAGGTCCACAGCTCTTTGTTTGCAATCGTTAAGCAACCACAACTGCAATGAAAAATTTAATTTTAAAACAAGTAAAAAGAACGGGTTGAGACCCTGCTTAATTTCAACTGTGGCCCCCCGCATAACGAGGCATCACATAGCGTTTAAATCCCATACCGTTTTGTTTTATCGCAAAAATTTTTCCCGGCCATACCGATTAAAAACCCGCTCCCGTTTTCGTCCAAAACGCGCCAATGTGGCCCTCACCAGCCTCACATGTGCCGTGCCTTGTTTACCAGCCACCTCCGGGGTAACATCCAAGCTACAATGGGAAAATTTCGTATTATTACAGTTTTTCGGTGTTTTTTTCTGAAAAAAAGGGCCCCATGGGCCCCAAGAAAGCTTCTTCCAAACCCGTACCCCAAAAGGGGGGGAAAATTTCCAATAGAAATGAAGGAAAAGATCATTGAAAAGTATGAAAGTGGAGTGCGATCGCCGACCTGGTAAAGTTGTAAAGAAACCCCAATCAACCATCGCTACATTTGGGCACCAAAAGAAAATAAAGGGAAGCTTTTCTTCCCAAAAGGGTTTTAACGTTTTTTCGAAACAAAGTCCAAGTGGGGAAGATTTGAGAGACTCTTATTGGGTGGAAAAAAATAAAAACGCTGCGGGAGTAGCGTCTCCAAGCGATCATATTGAAAAGGCTAGGAATTTCATGGGATTAATTAAAAAAACCCCAACTAGTGAAAATTGGTGAATTTAAGGGCCCGCAAAGGTTTTTTTGAAGATTTAAAAAGCGAGGGGCTTCCATAGTGGAAAAGGGCATGGTGACTGCCAGTTCGGCCCAAAAGCGGCTGAAAAAAATGTGCGGAATTCAAGGAGACATAGACAGTAAGGACTGAAACCTGAACAAGTTTTAATTGTGATGAAACAGGCCTGTTTTGGAAAAAATCCCAAAGCAGGACCTAATTACTCAGGAAAAAAAACACTCCCAGACATAACCCTATAAAAACAGGCTTACTTTTTGAGTGTCCCATGCTAGGGGTGTTTGGGAAAAGTTAACCCTTTATTATGTATCACTCAAAAACTCCCAGAGGTTCAGGCAAAAAAATATCCTAAAGGAAATTTGTGTGGCTTTTGGGGGGAAACAGTAAGGCATGGTCACTAGGGACTTTTTTATAACGGGTTACACCAGCTTTTGCCCCCAATGTAAAGATTACCTAACTGAAAAAAATTAAACTTAATGCCCCTGGTGTAGAAAATGCCCCTGGCATCCTCAGACGTGGCAGAGCGACTTTAGGGGGACATACTTCTTTAAGGTGAAGTTTTTGCCTCCAAAAAACTCCTCTCCTCAGCCCATGCCAGCATTATTGAAACTTCAAAAAATGTACACAAAAGCTCTGTTTGAAAGTGTTTGAGTGACTCAGAAACTCAACTGACTCTAAGAGAGTTTTGGAAGACCTTTAATACTCAATTGGTAAACCTTATAGGTAAGGTTTGGGGGGGAGTGACTAAGAAGATTTTGAACTTGTTTGGGAAAACTGGGCCAAATTGTAGACAAAAGGGTTTTTGAAGGGTTTGAGGCTAACCTAGAGGTTTATGCCACTTGAGGAATCAATTGTGGCTTTGGGGAAAGCCGGGGGGGGTTGGAGGTGTGGGGAGATTGGAAGAGGGTGGAGGAGGACAATGAAGAATAACCACTGAGAGCTGATAGATCAACTTAAAGAGAAAGAGGCCAGACCTGAGGAAAGGTTCAGGGGAGGGGAGAAAAAATTTAAAGAAGGCCTACAAAAATTAAAGAATCTGTGAAAAGTGGCTTAAGGGGAAAACCCTTCATGGATGAAAATCACC